CGATCATTTATCGGAAGGGTTAATTTTGACGATAGGGTTGAAGTTGCAACGGGAGTTGAAAGCACTGCCGAGTTCGAATTCTGATTGCAAATTTTTCTCCTATCGAAAATTTAAAAAAATGATTTCGCACATTGCCGCTACTGAATGTGCCGTGCGGATGAAAAATTTGATAATTGTTATAATTGTTATAATTGTTATAATTGTTATATGGATAAAAAATATTCCGTCATTTATTATTCTCTAATTTCATATTTTGTTTCTAGATGTACAATACAAAACAACAAAAATATCAGTATTATATTTACGCTACACTTTTTTTATCGGTCATGTCCAGCATTATTATTTTTTAAATAAACGTAATATCGAGTAGTTGAACTTTCAACTTCGTTGGATGCAGCTTTGTTTATAGCTGGACTCTCGAAACGCCCATCGAAACGAACGTTGAACGCTTGACGAGCGATAATTCGTAAATAAACAAATTCAGAAGTGTCTCAAGTATGGTACACAACGTTGCATAAAACGGGATTTTCGAGACAAAGTCATCGGGGCTGCGGGCGGGAAGGGAAGATGGTAAGGATAGAGAGCAATAGAGGAAAACACACCCGAAGATAAACGGAGAAGGGAATCGCGAGATGACGGGGCGAAGTGGGGCGAAGGGTGGCGCGAGCGGGTTGGTTTGTGACGGTCGACGGTAATGCGCACGTGGAGAGGCACGTAAGGAGAAGGAGGCACGGAGGAAGGGTTCGGAGGAAGTACGGTGAAGCGCGGTGCGACGCGACGAACGGAGGTGGAAGGGAGAGAGGGGAGGGGGTGCGTTTGGTCCGGGAGCTCACCGGGGGATGCTGTATTGATCGCGAGAACGAGCGGGCTAAAGTAAGCCGAGGCTGGCTGGCACGGAGGGTTGCCTTGGCAACCCGCGTCGTCCCTCATCCCTCAGGAGTTCGGCCGCCCGTCGGCCCGAAAACCACCCCCGAGTGCCAACCACCATCCTCTTCATCTCTCTCTTTCTCACACACACACACACACACACACACACACGCGCGCGCGCGCGCGCGCGTACTGTCTTTTCCTCCCTTCCTCCCTCTCTTCCTCTCTCTTTCCTTCTCTATCACCGGTCTTGCGATCTATACGTATCGAACGGTACGCCCGATAGGTACGCCCGGTGCACGCGTGCATACGTACAGGATCCTTTTTCCCTTCCTCCTCCTTCGGTCTGTCTTCCGGTCGCTTCTCGACGCACGCCTTTCCTCTCGGAAATAATTGGGACAGGACCTGTTTCCGATAACGTTATCGAAGATGATGACGTCCACATCCTTAATCCTTTCGGAGCAGATCCTTCCGACCTGTTTGAGATTTATGGGATAAATACCTGTATAGTACCAAGGGACGATGTAATATTAATGAGGAGAAATAATCGGAATAGACCAGATTTCCTGATAGCATTAACAAAAATAATGACGATAGTGTTTAAATATACAGTTTAATTTTTGGAGTTACTCCAAATTTATATAAAGGATCTACAAATGTTAATAATATTAATACGGGACAGGTTTTATTTTATACTAGAGAGAAGAGTGATACTAACCAATAGTATTGACCAGTTCGAGATCATTTTTTATAAAATATTTAAAAAATCAAATGGAAAAATGATATATATAATTTTAATAGAAAATATATATATAATAAAACAATTATGCGGTACGGCAATCCTATTCTGTAATAACATGATCAAATAAATAAATATATAATAATTAATAATAATTTATTTATAATCTGTGAAATTTTCTATATACGAGACAATATTTCTAAGTCGTTTAAAACCTTTCGTGAGAAGGATCTAAAAATGAAATTAAAGACTTTATTAAAAGAACATTGTCATGAAAAGGATTTAGAGACGTGAAATATATAATTTACATTATATTGCAATTTTAGATGATTACTAAAAAAATTTTTTTAAATAATAAATAAACAATTATGGGTATACTCAGTGAATTAATGATAGTACTTTATATTTCCCTAATAATGAATTTAGATTTGCCAGTATGATTAATTTTGCGTAGTACACGGAAGCGGACGCGCACGCAATTATTTTCAAGATCTCGGGATGATACTTCTCGCGCGGTGCGAAGGAAGCGATAAATCTTCAGGCGCTATGGTCGCCGCTCGAAATCCAGAAAGATTTCGCGCGTATCTCGCGAGTAAGCGAAGTCATGGGCATATCGACGTATAATAATTCAATTCCCTCTCAATTCCCCAGTCATTTATATATAGAGAAAAGTATTCTGAAGCTGTTTATTTATTTTCAAATTTGTTCTAAATCATTATGTTTCTTCGACTATCTATCCTTCATTTTTTCATCATTCATTTCTTTAAACGCCGTTTAATGTTTATTGAATATATATTGGAGTCAGTGATGTAATAAGAAAAGAAATTGTACAATTAATATGAAAATATTTCTAATACATTTTATATTTTATATACATTTTATATACAGGTAATTAATATATGTGTATAATAATATATGTATATACATTTATGAAAATCGCTTACTTAAAAAGAATTTGTAATTTCAAATTTTAGGCTCGTTTTGAATATATTTTTAATATATATTTAATCAATAGCTTGAGTTTCTGTTAAATAATAACAAAAAGTGTAATTTCTTTTATTATATATTTTATAAATAAACATGAATGATGCCAAATCCAATTGCTACAAATTTTTCACTAAAAACATTGATGTCGTTTTCATTATAGTTACTTTTATGTTCTTTTTTGTTACAAATATATATTTTTTCTTTCCTATTGCATACAAAAAACTTGGAATAATTATAATTTCCAACGTAGGACCATGTTTGCAAGCTACTATATTTTGATAGACTTCTTTGACAGATCGTTTGACAGATAAAAATTAACATTGATGAGAAAAAGTTGTACAAATAAAACATAGCATATTTGGAATTTCGTGTTTATTAAAAATAAGATAAATAAAATATATTAAAATATTACTTATAATTAATACTTATTATAATAAATCCGATAGCTTTTTGCTACTTTAAAAAAAAAAATAATCTTTTCCATAAATCCTAATAAGCTTCCGCTTTCCGTTTTCAAAGAAATAACATAAAGTAGGTACTGTAAGTATCCAAAAAGAAATTCCTTCTTTATCTTAACAACACGCGAAAATTTATTTCCGGGAATTAATAATATTTTGCATCTAGCAGTCATCTCCGAATACTCGCGCGCCGGCATTAATTACCATCCCCGGCCGCGAAATAAAGTACGCGCGTAAACAACAACCCCGCTTAAACCCTTCGATTAATTTATGCGATGTCGAAGTCGCGGGCTTCTCTCCACCTCGGTTTTCCGGCAGCTCGGAATATTATTACGTCGCGTTGTGTTTAACTGGTAAACGCACGTAAACACACGGGCACATGCACAACACGCACACACTCGATCCAAGAGTAAAACTAACCGATGTCGTACGTTCATTCGCGACATGGACGAAAGACTCGGAAGGGATGATTCAAACGCAGAGGGGGAGAAAGTTGTCGCCGAATTGTCTCGGCATCTCCGACGATGCTCGCGATGTTTTCTGCGCGCTAACGTGAGTCTGTTAATCGTATTCGTATAACGATGATTATAATGGCGAATTATAAACGCGACACACGGTAGATTGATTGAAGAAGAGGGTGAAAAAAAGAAATTTAGAAGTAAAATTCAAATGGATGTTTATTTTATTTATTTTTTTTTGTAAAAACGAAGGATTCTCTGGGGAGAGGAATCTTGCACATTGACAGTAAATATATAAATATAATTTAATAATAAGCAGAATTTTTTGAAGACGAAACAACATAGCTCACAAGTAGAGCACAAGGTGATATATAAAATATAATGATAATAATAAATATTTTAATATTTATTGATGTTGCAATATGTATTGCTCTTTACTAATAAATACATTTATTAAAATACTTTATATCTATAAGATATTTCTTTATCTATCACTTAACAGATTTTGAGAATATAAATATAATAATTAATATAAATAATAATTAATGAAAGATTCCGTAGAATATTTCTTTCAAGAAAAATTTTCTTATTAAACGTTACATGGAAAGTAAAATTTTTTCATCGAAAATTCTTTTTTAATAAAAATTTTATTTGATAATTCATCTTTTTTTAATTGTTAATCTTCAAATCACTACGTCTTTTTAATTTTTAGTCTTGAATCGCTTCTTACATAGGGATTTTCCATGTCTCTTAAAGAACTCTTGATAACGATTAAAAAATGCACGGCATTTTTAAGTAAAATATGTATCCGGTAACTAGCGACTTCTCTTGCTTTTCTTGGACATGATTTTCCTTTTCCGATGGTAACAAGATACTTTCGAGAATGATTTTTGTTTCTACCCACCAGGGTACGCCAGTCGATGGTCCAGTGCAGCATCTCTCGTTTGTAACCAGGGCGCACCCTGGCATACAATAGTCGAATTAATTTGGGGGTTGCATCATCTCGGCGAACAGAATCCGCAAATAACGGGGAGAAACGCGTGTCGTGTCTCTTGACGTCCGAAATGTGTCACGTTCGAGCGCGATAATTTCGTCAAGGATGATTTTATTAGAAATATTCAAATAAATTCAAGAATAAAAACGTTCTTGCAACAGAAGAAATTCCCGAAGAACTCGCGGCATCTCTTTTCGCTTGCGTTCGAGAACGGCACATACAAATTAAAATGGCTGTGATTGGTCGAGTCGGCTCAGGGTGATTTTCGATGGCAGAACAATAGAAAGAGCGGCCTATGCAGGATCGAGAATTTCAAGGATTCGAATCGGTGAGAGACGATTGTTGAGAAAGCGCGAAAAAAGAAGAACGGAGGGATGACACGGCGTTGCGCGCTAGTGCGCAAGAAACTTTGCTGATTGCCGGATTTTGCACCCCGCGATAGACGGACGGGGGAGTGGAGAAAGAAAATTGTCGTCGGTAAGTGTTCCACTTGCTATTGATTGCGTTAGAACGACCGGTGACGCTTCCCCATCCTACGAATGGCGGTGGTATTCTCTTTAACAATAAAATGAAAATAGATCTTTCTCTTTGAGATAGAGAACGCGGAAACAAAATTTGGAATTATTGAGAAATACGTAAAAATTATAAAAATTATTGTATTAATAAAATCAAGCGAAAATTTATTCTGGAAAAATGTGAAATTTCAAAAATAAATGTGATAATAAAAGAATTTTTAGAAATTGTTAGTGAAAAATGCAGAAACTTTAAAAGTTGAATAAACTGTGCTAATAACATTTCATAAAAATCAAAGAATTTATTTACAAAAAATATAAACACTTGAGAATCAAGAAATCGTATTAGGTGAAAAAAAAAAATTAAAACTGTATATATAAAATTTATTTTCAAAAAATGCAAAATTTTTATCTTTTTTCATTTTTTCAATTTTGACTTTTTTCATTGATAAAATTAATTGAAATGAGATCTTTTTATAACAAAAAATTTTATAATAAAAGCTGAAATTAAAATTTATAAAAATCAGGGAGAGAAGAGTAAGAAGAAATCTGCTGAATAATTTAGAAAAGTGTGTTCTTGCGAGAGATGAGATCTTACGACGGTGAAAGCAGCTCGACAGAGGATGACGATCGTAGAGAAGGCCTACCAGAGGCACATTTGCAGCAAGGATCTTGGCAACGCACTGCGTCACATCCTACCTGGGCTTGGGAGCATCGTAATGCTGTAAGTAAAGACCACAAGACATAAAAAATGTATCTTTAAATGTCGTTGATGATCTCGAATGGATAATTTTAGAAAGTAATTGAAATTTAGTAATGGAGGAAACAGAATTATGATATTCTTTTACGAGATAAAGTATAATAAATTAAAAGGTGGAATAAAGAGAGAAAATTTAATTTTAGAATTTGTAGACAAATATCTGAAATATAAATTATTGTAAAACAAGTTATGAAAATTACAAAATTGTTATTAAACACACTTGCTTCTTCAACTATATGTTCTTTAATATATATTTATTAATATATATTCTTATATAATTAATATAATATAACAACACGATAAAAAAAGTATTAATACATTCTCCATTCAAAAATCTAATGTGAAATAAGATAATATTTGCTGTATGAAACAAAATTGTTTTTTCTAGCATCCACTGCCTCCACAATCCGCGGCAGCCCTCGAATCTGTGTATTCGACACCTGGAGCTTCACACCCAGGTGTCTCAGGCCCTCCGACAGCATACTCGTCGGAACACACCCAGAGTGCACCAGGACGAAGGACTCCGTTGGGTACCGTAGGTCTCGGTGGTTTTTACTTTCAACAGCAACCGCAACCTCACGCCTCGTCGAGTGCGTTGTCCGATGAAAATCGACCGGACGAAAGGTACATTTTTTGATACGAATGAATATCAACTTAAATAGATATTTTTGAAAAGATATCAAAATGAAATAATTGGAAGAAAAAAATAATAATAGGAAATATAATGACAGGAACTCTTGAAATGGAACTCTTTGAAAAATTTATATTTTAAATATTCTCAAAGAAAATAAATATATTAATAAATAAGTATATAATTAATTAATCAAACGCATATTCGATAAAATATATTTAAAGATAAAAAATATTTAAAAATTTTTATTTAAGCATGCTTAATTAATAATATTGACATAGGTAATTATATTAATAATATTAATAGACAGTTTCACAATTCTTTTTAGACCCGCAGGTTCGCGATTGAATTGCCCTCCAAAATCAAAGACGACTCGTCAAGGGAAGAGTGTAAGGTTGAACATTAATGCGCGAGAACGCAGGAGAATGCACGATTTAAACGACGCTTTAGATGAGCTTCGCTCTGTCATCCCTTACGCTCATAGCCCTTCGGTGAGGAAGCTGTCCAAAATAGCCACTCTTCTGCTGGCGAAAAATTACATCCTTATGCAAGGTAGCGATCTCGTTCCAGGTGAGATTTCGTTATCGAATTTTACTTGATCGATTAATAAGAATATTCTTCACGCAGGAAACGCTTTAGAGGAGCTCCGAAGAGTGATCGCTGTCCTGCAATCGCCGCACGCCCACACCACTGCTTTGCCGCCTACGCCGGTCTCTTACGACCTCCTGCAGGGATTTCCCGGCAAGTTGTTCCAAGGAGTGCAAGAAATGCAGGGATTACCAGCAAGCGAACCTCAGATAGTGACCGGCCCACCAACTGATGGCACGGTCGCCAGCGGCGAATCGAATTAAAAGATCGATTTGGTTTTTTCTTTTGCTCTGCGATTCCATCTCGTCTCTGTTTTTCTCGCGAAAGATATAAATCGAGTGCAAATCACGAAATTAATGTAAGCGGGAGTCGAGAAAGCAACAAGTATGATTCAAATATTAGAAACTAAGATTGACGATCGATAATTAATATAAGATATCGCGATCAAGATTTTTAAAGCTGGGAATTTGAGGAAACGAAAACGCCTTTGGCCATGAAAGTATTAATTATTAGAATATTATTGAAGTGCTAATTAATTCCTCAAGAGAGAGAGAAAAAAAGAAAGCGATAAATTAGTCGCTTAATATTAAGTATCTTATTTATCCAATCAAAAAGCGAAAGAACGAACCGTACAATTTTATTTTTTCTGTACCAATGATAAGATTGGATTAAAACATAGCAATAAAAAAAATTTACTTAAATAATTAAAGATTAGTGAATAGAGATATTGAAACAAGAACAAATTTGCTTAGAATCTAAGAAAATAACTTCTCCACGAAAAAAAATAAAATGTACGGCGGTTTTAAGTAGCACTTGTTCCCTCCGATGGGTTAATTAAGCAGATTTTGGAATCTAGATTAAGTTTGGATGGAAATATTGCGAAAGTACTAACGATTAAGTGATTAAAAAGCGATTAACTGTCACGATCTTACAGTCAATAATACAGCAATAAGACGACAACGCTGTTTTCGTTCATCCGACGGTCGATTCTCGAAGAAACGGTGATTCAATCGTTCAATAATTCTTTATTAAGTATGACACCTTTCTAGAAAAGCACAAGTTCTTTCCAAAACTTGTCAGATTTGATCGCGTAATTGCTTTAATATGAAAAACGTCAAATCGATGATTAAGAGGTCTTCGCCTGACATTCAAAATAACGAAGTCCAAAGAATTTGAAAGGAATTATGTTTGAGGATTCTTTATTTTCGAATCAGAGGCCGGAAGAACGAAAACGTCGTCAAGACTTGGAACGCAAAGAGCTTCCGAGTCTCGTCCCGAAACACGATAGTCAATATTAGTATGTGATACGTATGTCAAAGAGTCTAGTCGTATATACAATATAAAGATATTGAATATTCATATACACATATATAATATATATATATATAAAATAATCTAAACGAGGCATCGATTTACGACTTATTTATATACTTAAGAATCTATTATACAATGTGCCAATAAGAATCTATCCGCTTTGAGAAGCGAATGAGAGAGTGCGATGTGAGAAGCGAGAAAGAAACATGGGAATGGAAAAAAAAAGAATTATTTATTGTGCTATTTATAAGAAATATCGTGCGATTTTTTTTTTCCGCGACATCACTCTTCTGCCGGAAAGTAAGGAGGGAGAAAGCAAGAATGAAATAGCATTTCAACGAAGGCGAAAAGAACAATATTTGTTGTAGAGCGTAGATAATAATTGTTTAGTGCTCTCGAATAAAATCTATTTAAGAAAATCGCATCTCGATGTCCGACGTACATGTCGAATGATGCGATTATGGCGGAATTTTACATGGTATTTGAATTTATCTTACTTCATTTTGTTTATTTTATTTATCATTTTCTTTTATGTTGCACTTAGGTTTATTTTATTTTACTTCAATAAAATATTTTTTTATTAGATTTCTAATTTTCATCATAATGACATATTATTCTTCAACTTTGTCGTTCAAACGGGAATTTTTTTTTCCGCACTTGTCATCGTTTCTTTTCTTGAAGAATCACTTTGATTTTTAGATTGCTCGTTAAACAAAATTTGCGTGCTTTAGAAAGATAATAACAAGGAACTCTACAAGTACTGTTCTATGAGATTTTATAAATCGTAAGTTCTTTCATCTCTTCATCATTTCAAAGGATAGATCTTTCCAAGATTACGATACACTTGCCACTTCAAAATTACCGCTTTAAGAGTAGCGCCACGTGCCGTCTAAAAGAGGAATCTTTTTCAAGGTACCAATCCTCATCATCACTATTTTAAAAATATCTCCTAAAGCCCAAATATACGTCATTGCCACCAATATCAGAATGACCAAAAAAAAGTTGGTTGAAAAATTTTGTTGTCAAATTTTGTCATACTCTTCTCTTATTGTTCTTAACCGCTATTGTTCCTAACCGTAAGCGATCTGAAGAAAACAAATGACAGCTGTAGGCGGAGGCGGCGGAGACGGCGACGGCGTTGAAGGAAGCAATGGCGGAAGCGAGAGTCGTCATGTGGCGCCATCTTGATATGCTTCTCTACCGTTGTGTACTCATTCTGCCGCCTCCCGTCCTGGCAAGAGGACCTGACCGTCGTGATCGGAGGCAGGCCGATGTGCCGTTCGTGCGTGCGTGCCCTGCTCAAGATGGCTTTGTCCGACGCGGCGCCGCAGTGATATCGCATAGAGCAAAGTATCGGCCAGATCCAATCCAAATTGGATTACTCTTGAGTAAGCTGAAGGAAGGTGAAGAAGACCGCCAGCACGACGACACACATCACGATCACGACGACGAGGAGGAAGAAGGTGGTAGTCGGCAACTTCCTCAGTGGCGCGGAGATGTGACGCTTGTCGGCGAACCGGTGAGTTTCTTCGCATTCCCGATCTCGCGACCTGACCGCTTTATCCCGAGGGATTTAAATTAGGAAGGCTCATTTCGAATCGGAATCCCATGATGGCGTAGTTGCTGTGACGAGTGAGAGAGAGAGAGAGAGAGAGAGAGAGAGAGAGAGCGATTCACAGAGTGGGAGAAAGAGAGAGGTGAGAGAGAAAGAGAGAGAGAAAAAAAAGAAATATTAAAGATATGATATTAACCATCTTGATGTTGCTATTTCCAACGTAGAATGATCGAGGTCGTTTCTGTCTGCGCCACTTTGTGAAAAAGATCACAATTCTGCAGGTGCGGGTAAAACTCGGTTGGCAACAGTTCCTCGATTGTTCGGTAAGATAAGTAACAGGAAAAAAAAAAAAGAAGTGTGTAGGGATAAGAGCGTGTGCAATAATAATCGTTGAATAGTTAAATATATCACACTATCTCGCTTCTCCATTGGGTAAGGATTTCTTATTGTTGTATTTCGGAACAGCAAAACATTGAGGAAAACATTGAGGAACGAGATCTCTCGCTGATGATCTCAGGGTAAGGAAATATCTTGGAGTAAAAATTTCTTCATTCTGACTCTTTGAGAATTGGGAAATGCGCTCAGCTTGGCGCTTCGAGTATTATTCTAAGTTTATAACGAATGAATTTGAATTGATAAATAACACAAGTGAGTGTATGAAAGTGTTTTAGCAGTTGAACCGAATGAATGTGCAATAAAACCAGAACGAAGTAAATGCGTCAACTGATTCAGTAGCGCAAATCATTTCTACGTATCTCTTCATATTTATCTTTTTATATTTTTTTTAGAGAGAAAACGGATCTAAATTGTATTAAAGAGATTTATATAAGCTTATTGGGTTTCACAAGGATTGATTGCGAAAACTGATGTCACTTGAGTGCAAATTCTCTTTTATTTAGACGTTGAGAAGTTTTGAGAAACCTCAATTCTGTCTCGTCTGATCCAAAGAAGTTTTCTGATTTAATTATTGATTTATAAAATTTTTAATCGTAATTTTTTGAAAAAGCTGACTCATTTTGCTTCTATCTATCACGCAACTATGTGTGTAAATAAACGAAGTTACATGTTTACTCAGCAATATCGAGTACAATGGCACAAGCGTCATTGCTGAATACTTGAATGAGAATACGAAGCAAAACACTGTAGCACGTAGTATTACCTGCAATTAGAAAGTAAACTATAAGTAGCTAGAGAAAACGAAAGGAAAGGGAAAAGGATGGCGACAGGCGTGACGCGATATGCTAAACGATTCTGTCGATCCTTCCGTATCTTTTGGTTTCAATGATTTGCTTATTTATTAATATAATGGAAAAAAAATTTTTTAGGAAAACTTGAAAATTATTATTCTTATTATTATGCATACATCGGAGCATACATCGGAGAAACTGAAGTAGAAAAATTAATATGTAAATATTGCTCTTCCATAGCTCTTTCCTTTACATTGTTCTCTTAATATTTATCTTATATCTTTTTAATGGTCTTAAATTATAAAATTGTCTTATGCCTTTTTAATGACCTTAAATAATAAAATTGTTGCGAATTGTTTACGTCGGCGTTGCTATTGCTACTATTATAAGTAGAAACTTCGAAAGTGATACTTTCCGCGGTGAGTGAGAAAGTAACTAACTTTGCCTCTCGATTGGACGAAAGACGAGGCTGCTGTTGTAGTTTCCAGTATATAATACCTGAGTTCCACCGGCACGAGATCCAAATAGTCCCCTCATGTTTCGAGCCTGCGATACATCTGTTTCACTTCTGTGAAATAACTCCGCGCTACCCGCTGGAAATAATTCTCGATCAATATCACGTTGAATTTTTATAACATCGAGGATTTTCTTTTCTTTATTTCTATCGCAGCTGTTAAGTGATGATACCACCAACCATTATTATGCGATACCTTCTTTTATGCCTGAATTTACGTGTATATGTCGCGGAAGAAATTGTGTTTTTACAAAAAAAAAAAAAAA